ATATATCTATATGTATATATGTATGTATATATAGAAAACAACTTAATCTAAATACATATTTATATGTATATATATTAAACTGTTACTTATTCTGTTATTTTTATACTTTTTAAGGTCCACATTTGTGTGACCAATATAAAAATCTCAACATGTGGTCTTCATTAACAATGCCAAATATGAACCTTTTAAGATCTGGTCTAGACAAAGATTACAGACTTTTTTGGGGGACTATTTAAGAGACATATCAGGGGGGGAAAAGTCCTAGGAAAATAAAGTACAAAAAAAAAAGACAAATGTGGTAATATGAGAAAAACGTGATATTGTGAGAATTAAGTGGGAACATTTACAGAATAGTCACAGTTTTCAGAATTGTTTCAGTCTCGGAGTAATAGGGCCAGGCCAGATTCTTTTCATTATTTTTATTCTTTACGAGAATAAAATCAAGAGAAACAAGAAGACATATGAAAATAAACTGGTAATATTACAAAAATATTACGAATACAAAGTATATTCTGAGATCAAGGTTCCTCTGATACTGTTTATGTATCTGAGTCTTACAGCAGATTTGTCACACTCAACATGGAGGACGCTCCTACTCATTCGTAGCTGGATGACACGCTGCAGTCTGCTCTTGTCCTTGGGGTGGCACTAGCGTGTTAGATGGTGATGGAGGAGGTGAGGATGGCCTCAATGATGGAGTAGAAGTCCGCCATCATTGTACTTGGAAGGTTGAATTTTTTTCATCTGCCGCAGGAAATACATCTGCTGGGCTTTCTTGGTGAAGTAGGTAATGTTCCGCTCCCACTTTAGGTCCTGTGAGATGATGGTTCCCAGGAAGCGGAAAGACTCCACAGTGTCAATTGTAAAGAGACAGAGGTTGATGAGGATAGCTGGATGGGATGGCTGAGTTCTTCCTGAAGTCCACAACCATCTCCACTCTTTTTAGAGCGTTGAGCTCCAGATTGTTCTCCCTGCACCCGGTCGCCAGATGGAGATGAGCGTGATGAGAGAGGTGTCGTCCGCAAATGTGTGACGCACCGCTGGCTCTGATGTTTATTTTTTGTTTTAATTGGGAAAAATTTTATTTAATTTGAGTTTATCTGATTTTGTTAATCAATATTCCCCGAGCCACTGTTTATTAAACAGCTGCGTTACATTTGACCAGAGGTAGGCAGTCAGGGCCTTCACTGCAGGCCTGAAATCAATCAGGAACAGTAACATACATTCACAAAATAAACTTTAATTGTCATTTATCCAACTGTACTGTTACTCCAAATAAATCGTAGCGTTTTTTTTCTTTTGGCTGCACCACTTCCATTGTGTTTATGTAGTTGCTACATTTTTTGAAACAATTATTGCGTTAAGATGTCAATCAAATCCTCCCAGGGCCTTCATAATGAATAGCCCCTGACTGCAGACCATAGATCGGGGCATGGCTCTAAATCGAGGCCTGTGCTACTGACCTCTTAATTAGACAGTTGACCCTTAAGTCTTACAAACTGTGGTCTGTTTTGTCAGGTAGTCTTTAATCCTAGTGAATGTATGATGCCTGAGTCTTGAAGTTTCTGACAAAGTCAGGCTGAATTGTATTAAATGCACTGGAGAAATCAAAGAAAATGATCCTCACAGAGTTATGTAGTTCAGGAGCGAGGATGGAGAGGGAGACAAAGAATGGAAGAAGAATGATGAACAGGAAAGGCAACAGGTTGATTTAATACTAGTTCCAAAGTATTTTTAGTGCCAATTAGTGCCAAATGAGCTAGGGCCACCCATGGCTCGAAGTCATCTTGCTACGTTAAGCTCGCTTTGTTTCACAGGCCCCTGCTGGAAGATGCAAAAAATTAAATAAAGGTCTCCAAAACCAGTGGCGCCTCCAGAAATGTTTCATGGGGAGGCAAACTGAAACTAAAAGCATTAATTTCAGGGTTTTAATCTACTATTGTGGTAAACCTGTCTGTAGAAATCATAAAGAGTTAAGTAAACATTTACTCATATCTTGGTTTATGTGTGAATATTTTTTATGTTAAGTCTCTGGCTCTGCATAATGGGATGAAATGCTGAACTGATGCTACTAGAGTTTACACTGACCTGTGTGGTGGCGAGGTCATTGCACCCCCTGGTGGCACCACTATCCAAAACACAAAACTGTGAAGTTTGCTTGTGTGCAGTCATGTCTTTGAAGTTTGGTTACAGTACTTAGAGCTCCTTAAAATGTCAGGCTGGTGTGTACCAGTAGAGGGACTGACCAACTGATCTGCTTGCACCTTGATCTTGTTGTTACACCACTTTCTAAAAACCATCATATTCTTTGACTCCTCATGAGCTAACATGGTGTCCCTCAAGTATACAGCATCGATATCCATCTAAGCCTCATCCCAATTAGGACGTATAATTATTTTACACTTACTAAGGTCATGTGTCAGTTTTGCTTGTATTACTATATTTCTTCACATTGGCAAACTGTATTGATATGATTTTGATATTGTGTCACTGAATACTGAAACCTGCAGGACGTTTAAAGTCACTACAGGCAGCCTCTGACAGACTAAACTGACACTGATTTGATGATCTAGATTAAAATCATCATTAAAACCATTGTTTGGTTTGATGTATTATCTCATATTTCCGTTTAAATTAAATATATGTTTTATATTTTCAGATAGATTTTTAGACAATCCATAATTTGAACAGATAATGGAAATTTATGTGAGCATGTGAGACTAGGATTTATTCATTTAAGATGAGTACACAAATAACAGCAAACTACCGTAAGAGTCAATTTGAATTCAGATAAGTTGAGGAATAACTGAGAGGAACAGGAAGAACATTAAATCCAATGAGATCAGAATAGTCCTGCTCGGCTTTTTTGCAGATTCGTTGTGTTGACAGATGGACTTATAAAAACAGTTTAGTGTGTCAGGCAGTCCAAAACAGCTCCTGTATCGGAACTTCTTGAAACGATATGTGCACCAACACAGGGTTTTGCTGTTAGAGCTTGAGAAATGCACCGACCCATCATGAATATGTACTGTGGTGTCTCTGTGATGACTTGGGCCCCGTCCACACGAAGTCAAAACGAACACGAAACACTGATATTTTCCAGATTGTTTGTCGTAAAGACGGAGACGTAAAATAAATGTGATCGACCACACGAATGCATGAAAACGCTGCAAAATGTATGCCAGGCCTGTAAGAGGCGCTGTGGTGCCAAAGCAAAAATAGGCGAAAACAGGCAACGAAATGTTGGGCATGCGCACTAATATTTATACATGGTTGCCCTGCGGGTCCATTTTCGTGGTTCAGTCAAATTGAGGTGCTGAACTATGTCGTCTATATTGCTCTGTCTGCCGGCTTCGTATGGATGAGAGGCTGGTTTGGTGAAAAATGTGTGCGTTTAGGCCAGGGTTTGACTTCGTGTGGACGGGGCATCAATTTTCTTTATTTAGACACAAAGGCTAGAGTGAGAAGATTTAAGTTCATTTTATTTTTGGTTCTTGAAGCAAACACTAATGAATTCATAATAAAGGCAACCAGACATACGAAACAGCTTTATCAATGCATGTTGTACATATATTAAAAATAAACACATCCAGCATAAAGCGCAAACTTTTATGTAGGTTTGGGTTTGTTTTCTAACACTTAAAGCCCATTTTGTTTCGGCATCACACTCAGATAGCATGGAGACATTCTTCTTAGGAGCTTTTCTTCTCCTCAAAGATGAGGTTTGCTGTGGCTTTCTTTGCTGTGGAGAAATTATAAATAATGTTCATTATTGCTGGTGAAGATTCTCAGTCATCCAGGTCAGAGTCATCCCAAAAAAGTTATCAAAAGAAGTAAAAAATAAGGCACTCCACTGACTTTGTTTCCAAGTCTGAAGACCCTTCACTTCCCACCCAGGAAGCTTTTTCAATTCAAAATGTCAGAAACAGAGTTGAGTTCCAGGCTTTATAGAGTGGACCAAAACAAAGCCTTGTTTTGGCTCAGAAACATGCAAATTTAACCTGACGAGCGGATCCACCCCTTAGGGAGTGGTTTGGGTTCTTTGGTCCAATCTATAAAGCCTGGAATTCAACGCTATTTCTGACCTTTTTAATTGAAAAGGCTTCCTGGATGGGAAGCGAAACGTCTTGAAACTTGGAAACAAAGTCCAGTGGATTGTTTTTTTTACTCTTTTGGAATGTTCATTATTCAATAACTTGCAGTTCTTGTCAGTACAATCAATGCAATGTTCAAATGAAAATCAGTCTCCATAGGCGTCTGTAATTCAAACAGTAATCAAACGGTTTAATTTCTTAACCCACGAAGCCCAAATAAATGCCTGACTGAAAACCACATTCAAAGAAAAGGTTTGGTTTTTAAACGGGAAATAAAATGGAGATGCAGTTTATCTTAAGTGAGGAGAAAGCTCCTATTCGATCCTATTCTATCAGAAGCTTAGAACCAGCCAGCATGCCCTACAGGATTATTACAGATTACGATGTTTTGATCAGAGGACAAATTCTACACATTTCAAACCCTAAATTAAATCATGCTGTCTTAAAACAGACTTTTTAAAGGTCAGAAAATAAAATTTTCGTTTTATTTTTTAAGTAAGAATATATTAAAAGGTATAGTGGAGGATTTTCTTTTTCCGGACGGATCTTCTAAATAAGTGGTCCTCCTAATTGTCAATCAATCTGGTGATATGTTTGCATAAGGCCATCCTACCTGCTGGTCCCCAGTTAGCTATCATTTTGGGCGCATTCATTTTTTCTTTTGATAAAATGCCATCAAAACACTTTTGCTACGTTCACACCGCACACAGCAGGTGCAGCAGAAGCAGCGAGTTTACGTGCAAAGTCAATGGTTGACGGGCGTCAAGGCGCAGCAGAAGGTCCCGCGGCGCGTTTTGAGCAGCAGGCGCAGCGTGTCTGAGCAGCTGAAGCAGCGCGTCGGGAGCGTTTAAGCATCTGACGCGCCGCAAACACGCTGCTGCTTGAGATGGAAAAATTTAACTTTTGCTGCTCGACGCGCCGCATCAACCAATCAGAGACGCTGATGTGGAAGCTGGCAGGGAGAGAGACACAGCGCTGATGATACAGAGCGCTGTGATCACTCCTCTGAAACAGTTTATTAATGCCTAAATTAACTTAAAATGCTGAAACCTGCCGACAACGCGTGTTCGCTTTATTATCCTGGTGCCTGCAGTTTGGATTATGTACATGAAAACCACCTTCCAGCCGCCGCGGTGAACCACAAGGTGGTGACCCGGCCAAAGGCTGCTGTTGAATGGGATTCCTGCTGTCAGCGCACCGCTGGTATGTGGGGGTCTGAGTGGCTCCGACAGAAATAATATTGGAGGGCAGGATGGTAATCTGGATGAACTGATTAAGTTTTCAGGTGGATTTTCCCACTTAAAAACATAATAAAACTACTTTATTCCCACTGCTCACAGCAATATAGCTGCAAGGCAAAGAAAGGATAGAGTAGCTCCGCCCAAAGTGCGTCAGACCCACTTTTGCACCGCGCAGCCAGAGCAGCAAAGCTGCTTCAGCCGCGCGTCAGAACTAAACTGGTACAAGCAGCAAAAAGGAAGCAGCAGACGCGCTTTTGCTGCTCCTGCTGCGTCCGGTGTGAATGTAGCATTAGAATATAAAGTGTGTCTCACCCCCCCTTCAGTGTCCACCA